AGATCTCCTTAGTCTTAGAGGTGTCGAAAGTGTATTATACTATGTTAGGTCTCTTTAGGGAGTTAGTAGTGGCCTTTCTTATTAAGACCTGGCATTTATAATCTCTTGTGTTCTTTAACTTTGCCATAGACATATCGAGCTCGCCAAAATATGTCCCTATAGTTATGCATCTACAATGACTTTTGTAGTGAGTTTGTAGAAATCTCTAAACTCCATTCCTTAAAATTTCTTTCTCACTTTTATGTCCAGCCCTAACTATGCCAGCTTGACAATCTCGACCTCTGGAAGGGGCATGTTACACCTTCCTCTCAACCTCTTAAACCTTGCAAGGTATTGATCTACTATCTCACCAGTCAATTGAGCCAATTTGTATAGTTCTACAATGCTAATTTTAGGCTCATTTTTGTAAAACTATATGTCAAACTTCTACTCCATTTCTAGCCAAGTAAGAATAGAATTACACACCAAGGTTGCGAACCATGTGAAGGCCAAGCTCATGAGAGAATTTGAGAACAGCCTTAGCTTTAGATTGCTAAGGTTATCATAATTGGTGATTTCACCACACTAAATAATGAACCTACCAATGTGCTCCAATGTCAACTACATGCCATCTCTAAAAAATAGGGTAAAGTCCAAGCCTGGTATAAGGATTTTCTTGATTTACATACTCAAGATATGGTTTTGCAAATGTAGGTTGGCTAATTGGTCTTATCTTGGGTATATAGGTGTCCTAAATCACATCCCTCAAAGCTTCAACTATAACCAATTGGGTTTGCTACTTATTAAGTCTTTTTGGGGTTGCATCCATGCCCCTCGGGCCACCTATATTTGGTTCCTATAAATAGTACAAAGGGTTATTCACAGGATTGGCATAAGAAAAAACCATGAGGGGTAGAATAATCCTTTATAGGCATGTAGTCCTAAAGGCCTTATGTTTAAAGTGCTTCCTCATAGTTGCCCCTCGTGTGGCCCAAAGGTTGAACCATCTTCTAGAGATCCTCCTCTTTATGATGCAGCTATATTTTTCATCCCCTTGTGTAAAGCCTGCATCATCATTTATTAATATTTGTCCAAATGTTCCTGAATTCCCTATAGTATTTCTATGACCCATCTGTTGGTTATAATTAGAGGACTGACATTATTGCTACCTGCTTTTGAATAGGGGCTCGTGCTACTACTACTTATAGTCATCGGCACTATGTGCTCGCAATGTACACTTCAACATTGAGGGTGCTAATGGCTCTAACCTTATGGGGTAAGGCTTCATTCTAGTTTGTGAGACCTAGCACCTATCTCATCAATCTTTTTGTACTTTCATGGCGTTGGCATCTATGTCACATAAAGTCCCACCGAGCATGGTATAAATTGTTCTTCACAAATGAATAAATATCAGGCGTGCTAGAAACACTAGGTCTCAAAGATAATAACAGGGTTCCCATGTCCCTTACTACAATTTGCTAGAATGTGAAGATACAAAGGTAATTTTGGAAAGTAAAGTGGCTCTATTAAAAATGCTAATAAAGTGTTGTTAATGATTCTCCTCCTCGCGGTCCTTAGGTTCTTTTATAAGAATTTGACTGAGATTGTTGTATTCATAATATTTAAAGCCCGTTTACAAAATATCAAGGACTATTTGGCATGACTCTGCAAGATTTATGGCATTTAAGATGATAATGTCATATCCACTCAATGGTCTCTAATGTCTATTCACCCCGAGTCTTGAGGGTTATGCCAAGCTCATTTGTTGCATGATCCTTCTTGTAATGACCTTAATTTTTAATTTGAATAATTCTGTTTCCCTTATAATAGATATTTTATTTAAATAAGTTTTTTTTAGCAAGTAGAAAATGGTAAATTAGAGGAAGTTATGTTAGAAAATTTCTTAAAAATCCAAAGTTCAAGTTTTTTTTTTTTAGCAAAAGTTTGGTTCTAAATTATATAAAAATTTTGTGCCCTTTCGTATAATTTTCTTGTGCCCATTGTTGTGATTTTCCCGTGTTTCTTCTTGTAATTTTCACAAATACTTCTTTTGGTCAGAATTGATCTCTATGGTTCGAGAAAAAACAGAGCATTGTTCTCTTCACCGCCATTACTCTCCTCTGCTCCTTCATTATCGCTCTACTTCTCTAGTTCTTCTCATCAATTTTCTTTCCTCACCGTCGACTGCATCTCTTCGCTGTTGTTGGCTCACTCTCCATTCTTCTTTCTGCCTAAGTTCATATGTTACAGTAAGGTTGGGTTGTTGGATGCTTTTTCCCCTGCCATCGTTTTTATCATGTTAACTTGAGGTGAGTGCTCTTCAATTTCTCTGCTTGCCGTCGCATTCCTATAGATGAGAGGGAGTTGGAGTCACTGAATTCCTTCTTGGCTTGCTGTTCTTTATTTCTTTTCTACTCAGTGGCCGACCGTGGTGGTGCGTACGTTCGATTCCTTTATGCTCTTCCTCCTAAACTGTTGGCATCGTATGTTGCTTGATCTTCCTCTTCACTCTTCCTTCCTATTCAGCTAGTGGGTGCCGTGTGAGTGAGTATGCTAAATTCAACTTCTTTTTCTTTGTTTTTTTGTTTTGGTCAAAAATTCTGCCTCTGCTTTTCTTCTTGTTGCCGTGTCTTGCTTGAGAATTAAGGAGCTGAATTGGTTAATGCTGTGGAATTTTATTGTGATGCTAAGCTTAATGTTGATAAAGTTTATGTGATAAGTTGATTAAATGGCTAAATGATTATTGTTAGCTAAAGTTGGATCTTCCAAGATGTTTGTGAAAATATTTGAATGTAAAATTTAAGAGCTATTTTAGATAATATTGAATGCTATTCTATTAGTATTGAGCTAAAGATTGATGAAGAAATTAAATGTTGAAAATGGTTGAATTTGCTTGAATGTTTGCCTCATAATTTTGTTAATGGTAAAAGTTCTCTTGGTATTTGTAAATGTGCTTGAAAAATTTATTGGTAGAAATGAGATTGTTAAATTATTATAGTAGAGCTTGGATGAATTATGAATATTACTCAAAGAAGTATATGTAAGGTTAGGAATTTTAAGAATATCAAAATATGAAAAAGGAATGCCCAGAATGCCTTTATGGTATGTTATTAAATCCAAAGGAAGCAAGAGAATAGTTGATATGAGATGTTATGACTTATGATTGAGAGTAGATTACAAAGAGCTATGAGAATGAATTGCAAATCATCAAAGGTTTAACTAACTCAAGTATACCTAGAACATAATTAGTTATAATATTATCTTTAATATTGTTGGATTGCCCTTTAAGTGCTTGAAAAATTATTTGATAAATAATTTTAAAATTTTAATTTATTTGTCAAGACATTAAGGACATCATTAGAATAAAAGTGTAAAATAAGAGAAGCAAATTTTATAACTTTTGCAAACTTTCAGGTGAGTGGGTAGCGTTCTTAATGAATTTTTAATAATTGTTTACAAAATTCCTTTACTTAAATTTTAATACTATTTCTTTATTTGTTCTATAAACATTCTTGTCAATTCTACTTTTATAATAATTATTTTATTAATGATGAGATCTTGATTTTACTAATGATTTATGCTAATGATAAATAATCATTAAAATTGATATACAATAAACGGTGTTATTTTTCAAAAACAGCTCAATTGTTTAACTTTATGTTTGATATGCAAACCTTTAGCACAACAACTCGTGCATGAAGAAAATGACAATGAATATGAGAATGAAAAATGACAACTGAATTGTATATTTTAAAAGTGAAGATTTTGAATTTGCTTTTTTTACTCCATGCATGCTTGATTTTAATTAAGGGGACTGAGTTGAGAATGCTAGATGCTAACGGTAGTTTCGTTAGCCCTTGGTGCGCTATGGTACACTTAGTTAGCAAGGTGTTTGTTGGAGGTGCTAGCCCCGTGCGAAGGCCAATGCACGTGGATCGGAGGGATGGTAATTCGTGAGTATTGTACTCACTTATTTTCATAGGTCTCGTGCCTGCGCTTGATTCGTGGCTCCTGCCATGCTTGTTTCATGGCTTTTAGCTATGCTTGATTGGTTACTTGCCATCGTGGACTGTGTGTCCACGCTTGATTGCTTATTTACCCTCGTGGACTGTGTGTCCACGCTTGTTATTCGTTCTGATAAGGCCCTCCTATATTTGATTTAAAACTTATCATTTTATATTTGTTTCTTTAAAGGATTTTTAAATTGCACCTTTATTTGAAATCTTTATATATATATATTAAATAGAAAAATTTTGATAAATTTATCTGGTTTTGATGCTATTGTTGGTTTCATGGTTATATTATTAAAAAAAACTCGTTATTTATTGTTTGTTAAAGTAAGTTCCATTATTCTCTTGTTTTGTTTAAACTAAATTTATTAGTTACTACCTATCACATTTTATTTTTAATTAATTATAATTTATAATTTTGATTGGAATGCTACTCACCGAAAAATTCTTTGGTCTCAGATGTTGTAGATGACCCTGTCTGTTGATTGTTGAGGGGCAGTATCGCTTTTTCAATAGTGGAAGTATATTCTGGTTATTCCGATGTAATTATAATCTAGTGCTTCACGTATACCATAGTTAAATTCTAGTTTTGTTTTGACGATTTATAATTTGTTAGTGTGGAGCTAAGCTCCTTTACTGTATTTGGCTGACAAGTTTTGTTATGGTAAAAAAAAATTTAGGAGATCTAAATTACAGGGGAAACTCTACCAAAATTTCTACAGAATATTTAGTATTTTTTTAACCTTACAATTTTATATATGAATTAATTATTGATATTTTAGCTTAATTTCATATAATTAAGGCTTATGGAATGTGAGTTTATCTCAAATTTTGTGATAGTCATACCCTTAGTGTCAGGGTGGGACACTTCTCTTGGAAATAAACCAGACTATGTCTCCACTTATATCTTAGGCTTATGGCTCAGTCTTAGCTTTTGCTTCTTGATTTTGGGATGACGCTCCATTTTAAACCCAAACACTTACACAACTAGGATAACTTAAAGAAGAAAAATAATAATAAAATGAAATAATCAACATCTATAAGAAAGATAAGATTGTCATGTATTTTGGCTTTTATCAAACCATATCGATTTTCCCCCAAAATTTAATCCAATCTTTTTATCTCTGTCCTCAATGGATTGTGCAATCACTACAAAGCACCTATGTCGTCCTCAACAAGATTAGTTTTGTCACCTAGGTATAATATAAGACACTGTTACCCCATTCACAGAAGGAACTTTAGAATCTTTTGAAGTAGATGAATCTTCTGGAATATTAGCCGTTCTTTCCACTGAAAATGCAGGACGATTAGGCTTGGGAAATGACATTGTGTCACTTGCAAGCATGACCACAATAGTGGACATGGTAGGTCTGTCTTTTGCATCTTCTTGAACACAAAGCAAACCAATGTGTATGCACTTCAAAACTTCACTTCCTATGTATGAATCTTCCAACATTGGATCCATGAGTTTCAAACATTTTCCTTCGCACCACAGATTCCAAGTCTGCAAGCAATTGTGAATTGTACGAGATTATAAAACCATTCATTCAAATTCAATAGCAAGTATCATGGGATAAATAGTTCTATATGATTCTGAATTGTTATATTTGTTTAGCTTTATTCAACAAAAATAGCGTTGCACTTCAATTGTTTTGGCTAATTAGAATATTGATATGCAACAAATTTTGTTATTTTCAAAGGACTTGTATACTCTCATTTTGTTGGAAACTTAAGTTAGATGTATAAGGCTATGTTTGGACCCAAGTTGGGGTGGTTTCCAGATAAGCAACCAACTTAATTAAATGTGGCTCCAAACATGCCCCTATCCCAACAAGGTGTTGTTTGTTTGAAGAAAAGTTTTGGGAGAATGACCAAAAAATATACCTTGAAAATATGCAAATGACAAAATATCACAAAATGTGACAATTATTGTTTAATTCCTAGAAACTTGTCTAGCATCTCAGTTTTTGACAAGATGACAAATTTGTCCCAAATTAAAATTTGAAATAAAATATATGGAGAACAATGACTACTTAACAATATACATAAAATAACAACTTCTCTTGGGTAAATGACTGATAGCAAGTTACAAGTAGTTGCTTCATGTTTTTTTTATTTCAATTTGCTATTAGGTTTTAGTCATTTGTCCAAGAGAAGTTTTCATTCCTTATTCTTAAAACAATCACTATCCTCTACATTTACATTTTACTGATGAAAAAAATTAGCAAAAAGTTACTTGTAATTTTGATATTAAGTTTTAGTCATTTGCCTAAGAGAAGTTGTTGTTTCTCCAAAAACCAGTATGTCAAAAAAGTCTCTAGGGACTACACAATAATTGTTGTATTTCATGATGCTTTCTTGTTATTTATATATTTTAAAGGTATTTTTTATCGTTCTCCTAAAAAATTACTTATAAGTAAATGAACAAGTGAAGTAGGGTGGTTCTAATATTACTTTAAATGAAGGGTAAATTTATTATTTTTCTCAAAAATTTAACATCAAATCAGTACCCTTAGACTGCAGTGAAATTTCAAAAATTTAAGAGCTTTGAATTTAAATAAGTGTGGTCAAGAGGTTTTTATTGAAATTCATAATGAGATTACATCTATAAAACAAAAAACTCACATAAATTAGAAGACTTTGACCACATTCACATAGGTGGAAATCCCTAATCCTTTTTCCGCATATGATTTCTAGTAGAACAACTCCAAAGCTATAAGCATCTGATTTGACTGAAAATAATCCTTGCATAGCATATTCTGGAGCCATGTATCCACTGTTTTGAATCAAGTTATGTAACAATTTAAGTTATCCATGAGCTAAACTTTTCTAAACATTTTAAATTATAGCTTTTAAATTAAAATAAAAAAGAGAGAGAGAGAAGTAGATATATAACCCTTACTAGGTACCCATTACTCTGCCGGTATTTATTCCTTGATTTTGAGCTCCTTCAAAAGTCCTTGCTAACCCAAAATCTGATATTTTAGGATTCATCTCATGATCCAAAAGAACATTGCTAGCTTTCAAATCTCTATGAATTATTCTAAGTCGAGAATCTTCATGAAGATATGAAAGTCCTTTTGCAATTCCATTAATGATATGTAGTCTTCGTTCCCAATTTAGTTTCTTTCTATTTTCCTCACCTGACAAGAATTGTTCAAGTAAAATATTTATCGACAATGGCATATGAAGTGAAAAGAAAGATTTGCTAGATGTTCTTGGAGCATAAACAGAAATTATGTCGCCTACTAGCTACTAAAGCAACAACATTTGTAACTAACTTGTGTTGCAATGACTTTTCTTGACAATCTAAATTTTGTTTATGAAGAGTTTTATTCTATGAACTACTAATAATTGTGATAGCCAAAAATAAAAAGAATCATTTACGTGTGAAATTCACCTGTCTATTGCTCATGAGGCGAGCAACAACAAACTAGCTATCACATTTTAGGCATCCGAAATGCTCATGGTGCGATAAAAATTTTTATGGGAAAGGCCAAGTTAGGGGTAAACTTTTTCCCAAAAAAAAAAAAGAAAAAATGAAACGATCATGCGGGTGTCTATTGCTCATGAGGCTAGCAACAACAATACACTAAACTTACATTTTTTAGATTGCATATCAGTGCTTAATTTTGGTATTTTCTACCTAATTAAAGCAATCTTGGTGTAGGGATATGTTATCGAAGAAATCAGGACATTATGCTCATTTCGAGAAGCTTTTGGGAGGTAGTCATGTTCACACAAAAGAGAGAACTGCAAATAACCTCCCAACGTTGTGACTTTCAAACACGATGTCTCTACATACTATGAGAAGGAAAGTGAATTATATATATATATATATATATATATTCATGATGTAGTCAAAGAGTACAATTCTTATTGGGAGAATCACATCCAAGGACCTGGGAAGAAACTTATTCACAAACAAAGACTAATAATAAGTCTTATTCAAGAAAAATAAGTCCATATTCTTATTTTAACAATAATCTATTTTATATTGATTGTTGTCTGCAAATAACTTTCTTGACAAGTCCTTGAATGTGATGCTTCCAATCTTATATACTTATTTGATTGCACTGTGAAATACAAAAAAGTATGCTAACACTAGAGCCATTAGGTACAAGCATCGACGAAGAGAGGTGTCAAAGGAGAAAATCATATGTGGATGATATTTCAAATATTTTAGCTAGATTTTGGCTGGCAATCTTTATTAATTCCCTAAATTTTGGCAATAGAATTTCCTTGGAAAAGGTTTATCAAGCAACCAAGCTGTCCTACCTTGGAGATTGGACACTGGAGATTGGAGAGATTAGCTCTCATACCATGGAAAGATTAAGAGATCAAGAGAAACACAAATGAATTGTGTGTGAAAACATCTTAAATATATTTTCATTTTATTTTTCTTGTTTTCAAAATACGTCATATCTAATTATTGAAGACTGTAGTTACCTTAGCTAATACTCCTCTGGTCTTGTATATTAGTCATCTTTTAGAAGTATAATCTGGTCCACTTTCTAAGTTACTAGTTGATGGGATTGTTTTGTTTCAAACTAAAATTTCCAAACTACCCTTGAAAAGTAAGAGAGAGAAAGCCAGGAAAAATAATATTATATCATTTATTTACTTTTTGCTTTTTACTTAAGGGTCAGATTTGGAATTTCACTTACTTTTATTTCTTATATTTTTGTTATATTGATATTGATAAAATTGGTAGAAATAACTATAAATAGGACCGAAGGGAGTAATTATTATAAGCCATCACCATTAACCACTAATGACTATCATTATCGACCAATTTTTTAATTCTAAAAATATTTTTAAATTAATACAACCAAACATATTTTTTTTTGTTTTATTTTGAAAAATAATTTTAAAAATTGTATTGCAAAATAGTTTTTAAAAATAAAAAATAGAAATAGAAACCAAACAAGGTCATATTCATTGGAATTATGATATGTAGTCAATTAATTCAAGGGAAAATTATGTAAATGTCTCACGTAAGTGATTTATCTGCAAATAGGTCCTGCAAGTTTTAAAAAATACAACCAAGTCCATTAACACCTAGGTGTAATTGAAATTTTTGGTAAAAAGACTTTGTGCCACTACTTACCCAAAACTAAAAAAACAATAGACTGAAGTCATATTCACCCTTTTCTTATAATTGCAACTTTACGCAAGTATAAATTCTCAATTCACAAGTCATATTTTATATTCTATAAATAATACTCATTTTTACCCTTCATTTACAATTACAATTTCATAATTTACAATTAGAAATTCTTAATACACATGTCATATTTCATTTTTATAAGTAATAGGCTAAAGTTATATTTTTTTAACTTATAATTGCAACTTCACAATTTACAAGTAAAAAATCTTAATTCACAAGTCATATTTTGTGTTTTAAAAATGCAAATGCATCATTTTTTTTAGATATAATTTGATTTGATGTATTTTAACAAGAGTAATATTGTCTTTACACTTAATTACAAATTACACTCAAGTCTTAAAAGGCATACCTATAGTTTTTGAATTTTGCAAGACTTATTTATAAATAAGTCTTTTACACGGGACCTACCTATTTTTTTCACCTAAGTCCAACCTTTGCAAGGAAAATCATTGAATACTATAAGCACATGATAACAAAATATGAAATAAGCGACCCATGTATATTAAGCATTCTCATATATACACTCATTGTCTAGTTATTATATTAATTGAATTATATTATCACTGATCACTCATAAACACAAATTTTAAACCATATAAGGAAAAAAAATAAAGCATAAAAGATATAGACAGGGATGTAGAAAACTTACTGAAAAGATGGAAATCAAGGCTGGAATTTGGCATGTACTCGTACACAAGCAACTTTTCATTTTGTTCTATACAACAACCCAAGAGTCTAACAAGGTTTCTATGTTGCAGCTTTGCTATGAATATCACTTCATTCTTGAACTCTTTTGTACCTTGACCTGAAGTTTGTGAGAGTCTTTTCACAGCAATTTCCCTCCCATCTGGTAATGTACCCTAATGAAAATTAAGGTTGATATATGAAAGTAAAAACATGAGTATATTGGACAACGCCAAACATTTCTCATCTCATGTGTGATATTGATTAATTCAGTTACTAATTTAACCTCACATCAATCTTCATGATGCTAAAATAACACATTGAAGCAGAATCATCCACAAACATAAATTTAATAAGAGGGAAGAGTTTTCGCCCAAAACATAATTGAGAAAGACTTAGGTATTTAACCTTATGTATTTAATATATCTTTATCCAATCAAGTCAAGAAAAATTATAGAATAAATAATAAGAGTTTGTTATAGAATAAATAATTTATGAAAAGATACACATGTCTTAATTTAATTGAAAACAATCACATCTTATGCATATAAAACTAAGTATATAAATTTTTCATATAATAAAGGCCAAAATAAAATATTTTACAATCATAAAATAAAAAGGAAATAAAACTTCAACAATCATAAAATAATCTAACATCTTCAACATCATAACTTAATTACTACGAAACCAAAAATATATCCGTACCTTATAGACAGGACCAAATCCCCCTTCTCCCAATTTAGAGACTTCTGAAAAGTGATGTGTACTTTGTTGAATTACAATTAAAGGAATTGTGGGAAGGTCTGTGTTCAATGAAGCCTCTCGTTGAGAAGGGTCATTAATCATAAGATTGCTCTCCAACGGCATTTCTTCTGCAAATATCAAATTTGTGTGTGAAGATACAACTTATTTTGCATACACGTTGTGTGAGATGTTGAGAATTTTGATAAAGTAGAAAAATTTTATACATTTACAGTAAATAGTAATTTTAATTATAATCCTGTCATGGTTATTCACTGTGTTTTTATTTACTATGTGTAATATACACTGTGTTATCCAATGTACCAAGTGAAATGAACCACTTTAAGGAAAATTTTTGGCTACTTTGAAGAACATGTCATGTATGTTCTTACCAATCTCAATAATCTAAATCAAATGAGTTTGAATAGAGGTATTTTATAATCACTTTGGACTAGCCAAAATCAAGAAGCAGCCTAATTAGGCCCCAACTGGTATGTATAGTTGTTCCCCCTACTTTTAATTTTTGAAAAACAATACATCAGAAAATCCTTATAATTTTTTATAATTTGAATTGAGTCCTTATAGTTTATGTTTTTCAACATAGCCCTTATAATTTGATCCTATAGATTTTTTAATCCCCAAAAGTTAAAATTCTTGATTTTTTAAAAAATAAATATTAAGAAATTTTATATTTTATTAAAAGATTATCAAAATTTGGAATTAATTATATAAATTTTATTACTCAAAATTTATATAAACTTGGGTTATCTTCTACGTTACATATAGAGTTTTCATAAAAATATAAACATTGTATTACATGAAATATTTTTTTATCATTTTTTGGCCAAAAGTGTTAAATAAAATTTTCTATCAACTCCAAAAGTTTTTTTTTGAAAAAATTAATAATTTTGTATTAATTTTAAATTATAAGGGATTAAAATGTATAATGGATCAAATTATAAAGGCTTTATTAAAATAAAATAAATTATAGGAATCTAATTTAAAATTAAATAAAACTATAAGGACTTACAGATTAATTTTCCTTTCATTTTTTTTTATAAATGTTGGTTAATTTATAATATTATATATTTCCTCTATTAAAAATTGTAAGACATTTTTAACCGAATCTCACCTCTTATTAAAGTAGTTGCTTATTTTCAAACTAATTCTATATTTTCATATTTATCCTTATTTAATATGGTGTTTCATTCTAAAATAAATATAAAGTGATTTATTTAATATGGGTATTTTTGAAAAAAGACAACAATTACACTTTGAAAGATTAAAATGCTTTATATTTTTTAACATCTAACCCCTCAATAAATGTTTTACATTTTTTTAATGGAAGGAGTATATATATATATATATATATATATCATGCAATAAGATGATTTTATTAGATTTCGGATTTCAAAATTTCCTCAATAAACGCAAAGAAATGCATATATATGGTATCCATCATTGGAGAAAGTTTATTAAATGATTTGATGTGATGATCGGTCACATATATGTCAAAAAAAATTATGTGAGATATTCTCAACATAGTTAAATTAAAAATTCATAAGTCTGAACCGAATCCAAATGCACATAAATTAAGTACGTAACGAATACCTTTTCTAGTCTTCCTTCTCCAGATGAAAAAACCCACACATAATAAAGCTACACCCATAAATACAGTTATGCTTATGATCAATGCTTTTGACTTGCTGACACCATTATTTTCTGCACCAATGACAACATGAGGTGATAACACAGATATGCATGTTAATTTGTTTGATAATCAAGACATGAAGTTAAAAGAGCAACAGTAGAAGTTAGTATAAAAAAGTAAAAATTATGGAAGAATAAAATTTAACCTCATCGTAGGTAATAATCGACTTTTACATTAACAAAAAGAAAACTAGCTAGCTAGCTAGAATAAAAATATTCACATTAATGTCGAAATATGAATAGTACCAAATACAAGTTTTCAAATTAAAAGGCATCAAATATATATAATATAGAAAATATTAAAAAATATTAATACCATCTGCCCTATTTATTTTAGAGAATTTTTGGTAAGATCAATTTTAGAAAATTGATATTAATTAATAAAAAATATATTTATCGCACTGATCAATCTTTAACTATTAAATAATATAAATGAAAATTATAATAAACTGTAATATTCATGAACCATGAATAGTATGAATCATGTATCAATCCCCATGTGTCCATGTCTGCCTTTATTGATTTGTATTAAACTCAAACCACATATTCTCATCAAATCCTTTGACTTCTCTCCACTTGCTCACCACTTAGGGTGGCCAGCTACCTTTGTTCATTTTATTTTTTGAAGGATGAAAGTTAAATTATAACAAATTGATCTAATGAAAATTTAGTCCCTAATAATTTTTTTAAAAAGATAATTTACAAATATTGAGTGAGATATTTTTTTTTTTACTTGAACGAGATAATTGTAAATTCAAGAATCTCAACTCTTGCATATAAAATTTTTAAATTTTGAATGTAACCATATTAGTTTCAACTACTCTCTTCGTCTAAAAAGTTAAGGTATTTTTTGAGCAGTTAGATATTAAAAAATATAAGATATTTTTAATTTTTTAAAATGTAATTATTATCTTTAAAGTGCTCCTATTGGTAAATGACTTTATATTTATTGTAGGGAATTTAATAGAGGTAAATAAGGAAAGATAAGATTAATTTAAAAGTAGGTAACTATTTTATTGAGAATGAGATTCAGTTAAAAATACCTTATATTTTTGAATGAAGGGAGTAAGATTTTTGTTTATTAATGTATAAATTGGTATATACGAGTTATTTTTCAAAACAAATTTTTGGGAATCTAATTGTCATTAATTGTTATTTTGGGAGTTAAATAACATTCCCCTTTTTAATAAAAGAAGTGATTAAATATAGGTAGTTGTCATTTTTCTTTAATGGATTTCATGCATTTCAACAAAAATTGGCATTTATGTTTTATGTATGTTACATATTGATATTAATTGCCTTTAAAACTCCAAAAGATTGCAACACAAAGAAAAGAAATGTGAAATCATTTAATTCCTTTTTCTTCATCAAATTAACTTCAAAATCAAAAACTCAAAAAAAGTATCAATTTTTTCATGAATATAATCTAATTGCTTTGTCATCTTTCACAACTCAATAAAATGATTTTATATATAATAATGCAAATATGAAAAGGAGATAAAAGCTTGTTCTTGTGTTATACCTGAAGGAGGATTAGGACTAAGAGAAGAGGATGATTGATAGAACATGTAATCATTGTACTTGATCATACAACTAGGAGATGAAACTTGCCAGCCTTGTTTTTGTTCACAACATTGAGGAACCTTATCCACCATAGCCTCCAAGCATTGTCTGCAACCTTCAGTGTCAAGGTCTTTACTACACTGAACCAATCCGTACCTTTTTCTTCCTCCACCCAAATCAAACTCTCCCTTTGCGCCCAATTCTTTCATCCCCTCCGTTGCTTTCTCTATCAAACTTCTCAAGTAACTCTCTGCTTTCTTCCCCTCCCCCGAAACCGACATCATCTTCGCATCGCTAACATTCCACCATGGGCTTGCCGTCACATTCCCAAAGAAGTTCTTGTTAGAGTATCGAAGGATGCAGAAGTCATACCTATGTTGCAATCATATATAGAAACTAGCATGAGTATTACTTAAAGTGTGCAAACTCTCCGTTTAATCGATGCATTTTTTTTTTTGTTACATTAGGAGTGTTTGAAATCATAAACTTTACTTAGATCTTATGACCCACGCGCTTGCAACTTGAGCTATAGCTCTAGGTAGTTAATTGATGAGACTTATAATTTTCGTACAAACATGAGGAAAAAAGAGCTGTTATCTGAAACTATAAGGACTTGCGCTTGAAACAAAACAAGCTACAAGGACTTAATTTAAATTTGAAATAAACTATAAACACTTGCAAATATATTTTCCCTAACGCTAATTTATTCATCAATTTACATCCAATTAATAATTGGCATTTTTCACAATGGATAAATGACTATATGTATATGCAGATGCGTAGTCACATATAACAATTAAGAAACTATATTATACTTCATATTGTCGAACGCAAAATAATTCTGATATTATTATTCCACATAATTATAACAAAGAATTCGTAAATTCTAACAAATAACTGTGGCGCATACATGGGAAACATAATTCCCACAAATACTCAAGAACTCGCTTTCAAATGGGCTCTCAAAGTATGCACAAAATTTATAATTTTTCAAGAGTTTGGTCAAAACATTCATTCAATATTTCAAACAAAAAAAAAAAGGCAACCCTCAAAATATTTTAACAAAGGTGCATAATTAATTTTGGTAAAAAAAATTATGGGTCAAAATAAAAATGCCAAAAGTTATTGACACAAAAAAAAATCTTAAAATTATAAGTGAAAAGTGAATTTCCTAAAATTTGGGGTGCAAATATAATTTCAGAAAGTATTGGCATGAAAATATAATCAATGCAAAATTGAAGGACCGTAAATAATTGGAGCCAAAAATATAATTAAAACGATATGAGTCTAAAAATAATTAACATGACATGGAAGCGGGGCTAGCCATAATTGCCCTCTTATTATGGGCCTATCTTTGGATTAACGCATATTACATTAATTTTGTTTTTATAGATCTAGACCAATAATAATAAGATCCCACTCACATTGTGAATTGTAGGCTAAAATCTCATGCCACTTAAGCCCAACGAATTGCTTATGCATGCATTATATTTTCTTTTATCATTGCTGTGTTGGTAAATCATAATTTCAAAGCCACTCCAAGTAAGTAGAAGGGTGGGATGGGAGTAGAAGTGTTGAAGTAAAAAAACAAATTATCGAGCTACTTGATTTTTCAGTAAAATTATTTTAAAATTTTAATTTTTATAATATTTACAAAGAATTAAAATTTTATTAATTTAAAATATTAATTCATAAATTTTAAAATAATTTTAATTTTTAAAATTTTATTTTCTAATATATAGTAACCAATATTTTAAATAGCTAAGAATCAAATAATTAATTTTTCTAATAAAAAATTATTTTGAATATCTGAAATTCTAAGTTATGTAAATAATCAGATCGGCACCAATTAAACCGTACCATAATACAGCAGAAAGTTGATTGGGACACCGTTGGAGAACCTCTCTGGTGGCAGTGGAGAGACAGAACTGGCAGAAATATCCGGCAAGGTCGATGCGGCAGTCATAGTGGCCGTACACGGCATCATCGGCGGTGTTGCCGACGGTGGTGTTGCTGTAGCGTTTGCCGGTGGTAGAATCGGCCGAGAGCCTTGAGAGGAGCTGGTTAAGATTGGCTTTGTAGGAGGAAGTAAGAGCTTGAGGGGTTTTGTTATGGCAGTCATCTCCAACGTAGTTTGGTGCTTGAGACTGACTTGTTCTGATGAAACTGATTATCAGAATAACTATGAAGCTGATGATCAGAAAATCAGGTTTCGATAATCCCAACATTGGGTCAAAATTCTCAATGAGCCTATTTCAATTTCGAACTATACGTAGTGAAAATAAATAGATAGTTGAATTGGTCATGAATTGTTGAAAAATAGGTAGAGATAATGTGCTATGATAAGCAAAAGTTTGACTCGCTATATACTTGCAATGAAAAATCTAACTTTGAATCTTGAATCAAAAGCAAGGGGGAAAAAAACAAAATTGGAACAAGAAAAAGAAGTACCGTATGGGCCCACGGTATGACTTTGTCAACGAAGAAGAATATGACCATTTGCCATTTCCAATTGTCCCCTTCAGAGCGTGTCCTATTTTCTTCTTCCCCCAGCCAGAGGGTATGACCATTTCATTAAATAAAGATACAAATTTTCTCTAGTGACCAGATTTTTTTAAATTTCTTGTTAAGTTAAAATATGAAAAATATCAGCTATCGCTAAAACTTGGCAATATTTGATACTTTAAATTTTGAGAGTTATGAGTATAAACGTGGAAAAAGGTGAAGCAAAGAAGGGTGAAGTAAAAATTTGACAGTTAAATGTTTAAATGTTATGCACACACACCCCCAAAATATTTAACGGTTATATAGAGAACTGTCAAACTTATAATGAAATATTTCAAATTTCTATTTTAAAAAACATGATCTGATGGATCGTTCGGCCCAAAAAACTAGACTGAATCCACCTATGCCCTCACCACTTCGTAGAGCGAAACAACTCACTAGGCCTCAAGAAGGGGTATGTGATGGCGAGCGATTATTGAGTCCAACAACTAAACACTGGTTATAGCGCCTACGGTGATAGAGTTCTCGTCGTGGTCCTTCTTTGATTTACGTAGCAGACCAAAGATCCTTCCTCCATTCCTCATTGGCGTCAACTGGAAGAGGTCATTTTTTTTTTCTCTGTCCGTGCTGCTATGGGTGCTATCATCAGGTCTCTCGTTCATTGTTTTCCCCTGCTTCAAGTGCGTCCGATCCCCTCTCTTCTTGTTTGTATCTTTAACGCGTTTGATAGAATAGATGTAACGGATTTTGTTTTTGATTCAATGGAGGCATCCATATGCCGTTGACAATCTCTCTCTTGCTATATACCTGTATCTGCTATAGATTCAAGGGAAATCGATTCTGTTGTGAGTTCTATGAATAAATATATTTGTTCGGAATTAGGAATTTCAAACCAGCTTTTGGGTTTTGGCTTGTTATTTTACTGTACATAGTTAATATGTGAGTTTTTTTGTTGTTGTAGTGATTTTTGGAATAATTTTCATTCGGATGCGATGCTATTTCATTTGAATCATTGCTTTCTTATTTTAACCAATCGATGCCACAAATTGAAATTAGATTTAATGTGTTTGTGATATAAGAGATTTATGATGTAATACGGAGTGGAGTTTACGTTCTATAAATTATGGTTTGACGAACTACTGCAAATCTTGTGGGAAGTCTTGACTTATCCATTTTATGTTATTTCATGTCATAGTCATATTTAATTTTGAGTTCAGAGATACTTTTAAGTTCTTTTAATATATGCAGCACAGTTTATACTTTAAATTAGTGGAAGATTATTATCTTGCCTTTTCTAGGACCCGATGGGTGGAATTATTGTCTTTTCAACCAGTCCTTGCTCTGCTACTAGTATGTTCGAGTAGGAAATGAGGAGTTTAGGCATGCTGAAATTTTAGTCTATTAAGCAAGATGAAGTAGCGTGGACTTGAATTTTATTTAAGCTTATTTTGATTTTGTTGAAGGAATGCAATTGGGAAGCTAGATTAATTCAATTATTGTTATTGGAGAATTAGAAGAAAAAAAAAGAAACAATCGTTGAGATCAAATTGAAGAGTTGAAACGTGGCATTAGTTTAAAATTGAGTGCTTGCAAGATATTCAATAAAATGTCTGTTAGGAGTGCTTGATTATGTATCTTCTAAAATTCTATTAATTATTTTGAGAAGCATGACTGACTTGTGGTACTAATTAATTGAGTTTAACTATAAAATTTCAAAGAAATTTAATTATGAAGCTACTTTGTGGAAAATTGAATTTTGGAAGCTATACTATTGATGATTCATGCAAACCATGGTGTTGTTTTATGTGACTCATATGCACTTAAAGTGCTTGATAAAATGGATAATAGAAGAATTTTGGATTTTTCGAGTGATTAAGGGTGATATGCATATATAAATATACTTTTGATTAAAGTTTAGCCACATGTACTTGCGAAGGGTTAAATAGAAAAATAGTGAAGGAATAAAACTCCAAACCTATATATATATATATATATATATATGTAGAGAGAGAGAGAGAGAGAGAGAGACCTTTGAATTTTGAGAGCTGTATCTACAAAAAAAAAAAATGACTTTCAACGGCGACTTTCAGTGGCGACACTAAAAAGTCGCTGCTGAATTTCAGCGGTGACTTTTTAGCGTCGCCACTAAAAGTGTGACTTTGAGCGGTGACTTTTTAGTGTTGTCGCTAATTGTCAGCAGTTTTTATTTTCTTTTAAAAAAATTATGTTGCAAGTTTCAGCGGCGACTTTTTAGTGTCGCCGCTGATTGTCAGCATTTTTTTGTATTTTTAAAATTAGATTAAAATATTTTTCATAGAAAAAATATTTTTTTGTTTTACCAATTTCATGATATTCTTTTTATTTAAATTTCAATTTATTTCCATTTTCATTTATTTAACCAAGTTGTATGTATGTATGTATGCATAGATACACATACATATCTTGTAATATTACAAGTGAAGAGAGGTTATATGAAGAGATGGAGAAAGGGCCATTTAACTCAATGCCTGCAAAATCAAAAGTCTTCTAATTTTATAGAAATTTAAAAAATTCATGGTTAAATTAGCTCTTTTGATTTGCTTCACTTAATTACCTTTTTTTTGTGCTTAAATTATTTTTTGACAAGATTTAACTCTTGTTTTTCTTTTTCTTTTTCTTCTTTTGTCATATTTGTTTTTCACCCGTAATTTCTTATGTCTTTTTCTATTTCAAAAAGAATTTGGATATAATATCTCTTTCAAATTTTTCTCTTATTTAATTTATTCTATTTTTTATTTTTGAGATTTCTATTTGTTCTTCAATTCTTTTATAATGTATTTCTTTATTTTTACCTCTTCTACTTTTCTTTCAGGTTCACTATTCCTATTTAATTATAGACTAAGACTCTTAAGATTTATCTTATTCTTCTTTTTTTGACTTAGATCCTAATATCTTATCGAACCATCTCATATTTTTATTTCTACAAGTTTTATTTTCTATTGATATTGTTCTTCCTAGGCTTAATAGGAACACCACTGCCTAACTTTCCTATTCTTTCACAGGATTTTTGAATATTGTATTTCTTGAATATTCTCTATTTGTTACTAAACTTACTTGACAATATCATTTTTTATAAGGTATATGTGATATTATGTTCATATATCTTTGTTGATTTATTTCAAAAGGAGTGTTATCTATTTCATTTTCTATATTTTCTTCTGCTTTTATTTTACTAGTTATAACGAAGAACAATAAATTCTACTATTTTAACATATGGACAAATAAGTAATATTATAAAACCTTTAGAAATGATAATTTTAAAAAATATAAAATAAAAATAGTTTGTTATAAATGTGAAAGATTTGGCCATTTTTATAATTTTTTTAAAAAATTATGTTGTAAGTTTCAGCGGCGACATTAAAAAGTTACCACTGAAAGTTGACTTTTAGCTGTGACTTTTTAGTGTCGTCGCTGATTGTTAGCATTTTTTATTTCTTTTAAAAAAATTATGTTGCAAGTTTCAGCGGCAACATACAAGTCGCCGCTGAAAGTGAACTTTCAGTGGTGACTTTTTAGTGTCGCCACTGATTGTCAGCATTTTTTAATTTCTTTTAAAAAAATTATGTTGTAACTTTCAGCAGTGACTTTTTAGTGTCGCCGCTAATTGTCAGCATTTTTTTATTTCTTTTAAAAAAATTATGTTGTAAGTTTCAATGACGACATATAAGTCGCTGTTAAAAGTGGACTTTCAGCGGTGACTTTTTAGTATCGCCGCTGATTGTCAGCATTTTTTAATTTCTTTTAAAAAATTATGTTGCAAGTTGCAATAGCGACATACAAGTCGCCGCTGAAAGTCAACTTTCAACAGTGACTTTTTAGTGTCACCGCTGATTGTCTGTATTTTTATAATTTTTTTACTAATGTATAATCATCAGTATATTTACTATTTATTGTTAGATATTTTTTATATTATAATTATAAATATGAATATTAAAATAAATAATATAACAACCTCAAGAAGTAAAAAAAAATTAAAATAAATAATACAAATTATATTGTATCAATTATATTTATAGTTTACTTTAAACAAAATAAATAATATAATTTATAATTTTATAATTGAAAGAATTAAATTGAAGTATTTAAGGATAGTAATGATATTTTATAATATTTAATATTTAATATATATGTGTGTTTGTATAGTTTAATAATATGTGTGTGTATATATATATATTTAATTATGCAATAATAGACTATAAGTTCATTCCAGCTCGGTGGCAAAATGGTTGGACACAAAAGGAGGAGGTCACAGGTTCAAACCTTGGAGTAGACAACTTTCAAAATGAAAATATAAATTGATGACATGATGACACGTGGCGTGTGGTGAGAGCAACACATAGAGAGTGACATGGGGCCACGTGGCATGAGGTGAGTGGCGACACATGGAGGATGACATGGCGTCACGTGGTGCGAGGTGGGGCCCTATGTAGAGGGTGACATGGCTCTACGTGGCGTGTGGTGAGAGCGACACATGGAGAGTGACATGGTGCCACGTGGTGTGAGGTGAGGGCGACACGTGGAGGATGACATGTCGACACGTGGTGCAAGGTGGGGCCTTACGTGGAGGGTGACACAGCACCACGTGGCGTGAGGTGGGGGCCACATGTACATGACATGGTGCCATGTGTGTAAGTGAACCAACATTACTTTTCAGCGATAACTTTTTGGTAGCTTCAACGGCGACAACTGTCGCCATTGATACTTAATATTCAGTGGCGACAGAAATAGTCACCGCTGATGCGTGGTTTTTGCGGCCACAA